TCAAACCACGTCAAGTGGGACCAGAAAATTTCACGAAATCACCGATTTTGAAAATAATCACATTATTGTGTAGTAGGCATGACTCATATGTCACAGTAAAAAAATTGTTTTAAAATTCGTTTTTTTGGTAATGTTATTAAGGTTGACAATTTTGTCAAACTTTAGAGCACGGTAAAATTGAAAAAATAGAATCTCTGGGACCACTCTGTATAATTGAATTAAATTTTACACACTATTGTAGAAATGTTTAGAGTATATAATGATCATTTAATTAAGGTTAATTTGTTTAAATAAAAGAATTTTGCATACATTTATTATAAACAATTGAAATTCTGTATGTGTTCTTCACGCTGAAAAAAAATTAATCTTGTGTCATAATATGCGGAAAACGTTTCCGTTTAATCAGATGTACTCAAAAATTTGCCTTTCATATGTCATTCCGGAGATATTAATTTTTTTGTCCGGCTGTGCGCTTGATCAGTACGCGGCGCGCTTCGCTGCTAGCTCGTCCGTTCGAACGGTTTAAGTCACATAAAAATGCCGCCAAAAACTGATTGTAGTTTCTTGTTCGGGACCCTTTGGTGACTTAAAAATGATATTTACCAAAGTTCTAGCTGCTCCTCTTTTCGAAATTGTTCGAAAATTCATGATTTTTTTTTAAATTTTTGTTTATCTCTTTGACAGAGTACACATTTGCACACGGATTTTTATAAAATTGGAGTATATTATTAGAGAATATTTTTTAATACTGTTCACATCATTTGATATATACAGGGTTAGCCAAAAATCACTTATTTTTAATAATGCAAAAGCGTAAATTCATGATTTTAGCATAACACGCGAAAAATATTTATTCCCAACTTTTTTTAAGATATTTCTAGGTCTATCAGGTTACAAAATGGCATTATTATTAACCTTTTACAAGAAAAATAGATTTGTAATAACATTTAATAAAATAACGCTTAGAGAGTATTTAAAATGTTGTTTAATTTAGGCTTTTTAATAGTTTTCAATTTTGAACGAAAAATTGGTTGAAGTTAAAAAATATATTTACCAAAATTCTAACTGTTTTTTTTAATTTGTAAAAAATTCAATTTTTTTAAAATTATTTGTTTATAGCAAAGTCTACCTTTGCCAGAGTACACATTTGTACACCGATATTGTAAACGAGAGAAAATGTTTTTATATATATATGCTTAGATTTATACAGGGTTAGACAAAAATCACTTTTTTATATAGTAAAAAGCATAATGCAGAAAAAAGATTTTGGTAAATATAATTTTTAAGTCACCAAAGGGTCCCGAACAAGAAACTGCGGAATTTTTATGTAACTTAAACTTCGTTCAGGCACACCGTTAAACCGTTCGAACCACAGACAAAATAGACTTGCCTTAGGGAGAAAATGATACGGCCGGGCGGGTGCCTGAACGGGTGCCTGTTTTCCAGTTCGCATCATTCATATTTGAGCAGTTGACCTGTGAGGATATATTATTTATGTAAAATTCTTTGAACATTATGGGTAAATGTGTTGTCAAAGTGTGTCCTAGTCGTAGTGAAACTAGTTCCAGCCAATTTCAACCAATTTCCTTTTTCCAGTAAGTAGTAATTACGAGATAAATTTTAAGCGATTTTATTAATTTTGCATGTCAATATCTTGCGTGCGCACACAGATGTTGTATTGTTCTCTCCTGTGCACAGAGCCGTACTTCGTTCATTTTGGAGCGTAAAACTTGATGAATTTCTTTGATAATCCACTAGGAATATTTTAAATTAGATACCGCTCGTACGAAATTATTTAATACGGGCCTGGCAGAATACATATCTTCTCTTATATAATATATAATATAATGTATACATTCCCTTGCCCCCTTCCCCGATTTATGGCACGCTGGTTTCATGTTAGCGATACTGAACAGGGCAAGTCTATTTTGTCTGTGGTTCGAACGGACGAGCTATAGCAGCGAAGCGCGCCGCGTACTGATAAATCGCACAGCGGGACAAAAAAATTAATATCTCCGGAATGACATATGAAAGGCAAATTTTTGAGTACATCTTATTAAACGGAAACGTTTGCCGCATATTATGACACAAGATTAATTTTTTTTCAGCGTGAAGAACACATACAAAATTTCAATTGTTTATAATAAATTTATGCAAAATTCTTTTATTTAAACAAATTAACCTTAATTAAATGATCATTATATACTCTAAACATTTCTACAATAGTGTGTAAAATTTAATTCAATTATACAGAGTGGTCCCAGAGATTCTATTTTTTCAATTTTACCTTGCTCTAAAGTTTGACAAAATTGTCAACCTTAATAACATTACCAAAAAAACGAATTTTAAAACAATTTTTTTACTGTGACATATGAGTCATGCCTACTACACAATAATGTGATTATTTTCAAAATCGGTGATTTCGTGAAATTTTCTGGTCCCACTTGACGTGGTTTGACTCTACTGTATACCGTTTAAATACTGCCTGTTAAAAAGGGTGACCTGATGCAGGAAATTTTAGTTTTCTATAGAAAACTAAAATTTCCTGCATCAGGTCACCCTTTTTAACATATATACTAGAGATTCAAAATTTCCGAAAAATTTGGGTGCCGGAAAATATAAAAACTTTTTTTTTCTTTTTTTTTAATTAATTATGTTTTTAAAGTGCCAGACCATTAAACTTTTATCTTTTTTATTTATATATTTTTAAAATAAAAAAATATTAAGTTTTAGAATATTAAAAATAATTATAATATTTAAATTTTAAAACAATAAAAATATGATATAAGTAGTAAATAAACAATGATAATTAATTATTATTTTTACAATGTAAACTAATATTTGTTCGTAATATGTCATATCGAAATTGAAAATTTTATTAAGTCTAGACATAATTTTGTTCATCTCTATGTTAAGGTAAATTTAGAAAAATATTTTTTTAAACGTCTTTGTAATAAACTTTTAAATAATTAATTGTCTTATTAATTTTAAATTTTTAACAAAAAAAGTATATATACTATGTAATATGTATAAAGTATACTTTCTTTTGTATACAAAAGAAAGTATTCTTTATACATATTAAAATATGTAATAAAAAAAATTGTCGCAATAAAAATATTTTTATATTTTTTAATTTTTTCCTTTTTCAATTTTTTAGAAGCTGTAAAATTTTCATATTCAGGAAGAGAACCTCTTGATTTGAACGATTCTGTAATATCCCAAGCGATAAAAGACTGGCTGAAATTAAGCAAACACCGGCATCCGCATAACAGAGAAAAAATGTAAAACCCGTAGATACGTTATTTTTATTATAAGTTATAACTTTGTTTCCTTGTCACATTTGTGCAAGAAATTTGTTTATTTAAAGAATATATGTTTTGTTTTTTGTATACGAGTTATTATTTCAGTACCATGCAGTAAGAACAAACTTTTTAATTATTTTAGGTCACTTAAGGACTAATACATTTTATAGTTTATACAGGGTGTTTCCTAACCTCTCTGACAAAAAGAAGAAGGTGAATTCTCACTTAATTTTAAGACGAAAATGTATTTTTCGAATAAAATTAGGTGAGAATTTACCTTCTTTTTTTTTGTCTAAAAGGTTACGAAAAAGAAAAATAACCCTTTCATTATACGTATAAATAAATAAGGAAAAATAACATTTAATACACGTATTTGGTATACGTATAAATTTATATAATACATAACATTTAATAAACGTATTTGGAATACGTGTAAAACCTGTAAATGTAAACTGATAATATACGTTTACCATTTCATAAAAAAAATCATATATGTAAATACGTTAATGAAATGAATATAGAAATCTGTATATATACGTTGAAGTCGCGGACATTTTGCAGTTTATAATACGTTTCACATATACGACGAAGTGACGGATGGTAGTAGATCGTTTTAAACGTTTAATATACCATTCTGTGTTGCTTGGGTTGTATGTGGTGACAGTGAAGTTTCGGTTTAGGTTTTATCCAGTGTCGGTCAAAAATTTTAGTTTCGGCCAAAAATTGGCCGGCGCGTCTAAAACTAAAAAATGGTTTTGTTTTGTACGTTATTTTAAAGATATAATTGTTATCGTTATTATGAAGCAAGATCAGAGAAAATTAAGAAAATAGCTATATTATATTAAGAACAGGGAGTGTCCGATTTAGGAGGGGGGATTTTTTTTTAAATGCCGACTTTGTAAAGATTTTGCCGACTGCAAAAGGTATAAGAGCTAGCAAAAATTATACTTACCTACAACGGCAAATATTTCTTTGGGAAATCCAAATAACAAAATTACATGTATAAAATAGAATTTTATTGTTAAATAATAAATTTCAAGGTCCGATTTTTACACTGCGGTTTTTTAATAGGAACCATTAACCACTTCACGAATATCAATTTTGTCTACCGTCGATGAAAAAAGAAGCATCATCATCGTGCGAAAATGATCATAAACTGTATTGAATTTATTAAAAGAACATTCATAAGAAGCTGATGTAACAGGAGCAGTCAAAATGTAACAAACGACTTAGTATGGCAGTGGTATAACGTTTTTTAACTTGAATGCTACTTGAGAAATATCTTTAAATGTTGAGAATTTTTTACATGAATCAAAGAGTTGTAACTTAGCATGCAAACATTTCGGTTCTTCTGTAAAGAATTCAGGATCCAATTGCACAATAGATTTTATTAAATCAGTTAATATTATTTTTATCAACTGGGATTCTTAAAATTTCTTGAATAGGCTTAAAAGTTAACAACGATTTTTGCAAATTATCTTGAATGCAATTCGTGAAAACTTAAAAAACAATTTTGAATTCATTTCGATATAATGAAAAAATCAAAAGCAGTTTCTGGGTTTTTATCATATTTTTTTGGGACACTGCGCATTCTGAGAGGCTATGAACAATCACTTTCATTAAGCTAAATATTTTAAGCTAAACATTTTACAATTTGAAGCATTGAAGTATTGGCTTTCACGCACATGTTCTGAATACCATTTAATGTCTGGAAAATCAGAAAGGTCTTGTTCGCCCGGCCCAACATATTTTGCAGTAACATGATAACCATCAATTTCCATTGAACTCCATACCTCAGCTAACACATTTCCAGAAAACTCGAAATTGGATCTTTCTAAATGTTCATCAAAATGAGACCCAAAATGGTCATGAGCCAATATCAAACCAGCCAGTTCCCGAAGTGGAGCCATTCTGCGCTCTACTCTGTTATACGCACTTCTGCCAGGAGCATTGGTAGCTAAAAAGAATGCATCGAGATCATTTCGCTAAAAGTGTTGTATAGCGAACCCTATAACTTTTTTATAACGCGGATTTTCATCTGGCCCTCCACCAACCTTCATGATTACAACTGGTTTTACCAATCCATGGTCAGTTTTAGCTAATGCTTGAAACTCTTCAAGGTCGAGAAATGTCTCGGAATCCTGAGCATGAGTATTAGCGTTAGATGAACTATGCTTTTCACTTCGAATAGCGATGTATGTTGGTCCAGAATATCCAACAGCTTGCGGTTATCCTAGCATACTGAAAGTGATTTTGATACAAGCATAAACTGATGGTATTAATTTATGCCGCTCAGCGATTACGTGATCAGGCAATTTGATTCTATATTCCATGTGCATTAGAAGAGGTGCTTGCCTATTTGCCGCAGTTACACTAAATGATCTGGTCCAAGTATGGATGCTATGTTCTCCAAATAATGGGTTGATGTTTCAGCAAAATTGCTATCTAAGTGGCATTTGTGGTGATCAGCTTAAGCCCGAGTGACCTTAACAGGGACTGTCGTTACATGTCTTCGTCCTTTTGCAGAATTAGATTTTCTGGGAATCAAAGATATGTCCCCCTTCGACTAATTTCAAATCCTATTTTACGTAATTCTTGTGTGAGTTCATCAAGAGTTTTTGCACTGCGAATAGATTCCGTTCGTCTTCTATAATCTGCTGCACTTCCAAATAAAGCAATATCCGCAATTGTTTTCAATAGTAATGGTTGATCGTTTTCCAGGCTAGGACGTTCCACTGAATTCCTCAGAGCTAGTTTTTTTATTTCTAGATTTTTATGACAATTTTTTTTTCATACCATCTCTGTGTTTCTTCTGGTCAACTGCGTTTTGAATATTCCTGTTTAAAGACTGTTTCGCTGTTTTTAATTCTTTGCACAACTTAATGATAAACAGCAACTTCAACACGGCTTGGCATAGTATCTCTGGCAGAATGCAAAGCATTAAGATTTTTTTCGATTAGAGCAATCTTATTTTTCATAGCTTCCTGAGAAGGTTTTGCTCTCGGCTGTTTTAAACAGATAATATGTGTATTTTCTGTGTTTTCGCAGTTGTGATTCCGCTCCGGGTTTTATGGCGTCTTCTTCCTGTTCTTTAGAATTTAAAGCGAACTGTATAATTTGTGTTTTTTCTGCAGGCTTACAGGTATTCGTTGCCTTAAAGTTCTGCTCTATAGGTACTGCCAATGATTCTCTTATTAAGCTACAAAAACATAAAGGTGTGACCAAAAAGGGTCGTTACATACACACTATAGTGAGTACATTTAATATGTTTAATTTACTTTAACATGGCGAAAATAAATCCACAGTTTCATATATTTATCCGATTAAATACAGGGTCGATTATTGAAACGAGTCAGTAAACTGAGAAAAAAAATGTTGTAGAATCATTCAAAACGATAATAATTCAAAGGGATTCAAATATGTTTTGGCATCATTGGTGTGTCCCATTAAATTAATAGGTGTATAACAATAATTGTTATTGTATAATACATATCTTTTTGAAACAACGTTGAGAAAGGCAATGAAATAAATAGATTTCTTTTTGTATATATACTTTAAAGAGGGTACACTTTAAAAGTGTATAAAAACATTGTTAAACATGTTGGTAAATGAATGTAAAACTACAAATGTTTCTATTTGAATTAAATTTACCCGATTATTTAAATGAATATAATTTCATGTGAGTGTTAGGGTATGATACGGTTATAGTTACAAGAAAGCGTGCCTAAAAGACTTAGCCATATGTGTAAAAAAGTAAATAACTACTGCTGACGTAATCAAAATCTAGACCCCCCATGTCATCAAAAATAAGCAAAGCAAAGAGGGGGCTGGGGCCCTATAGTGCTTACGTAATACTTGAACGGCCCCTTATGCATATACGAATATAAATAGTTTAGATGATTTTATAGTATATTATGTGTCAACTTTTATAAACGCCATTTTAGTTACGAGTTTTATTAGACACGAGCGAAGTTTGCGAGCGTGTGTTTAATAAAAACGAGTGTCTATAGATGTTTATAAAACGAGTTGCATACTATACTTTATCTACTACGAACAGAAATATAATTTGCTGATGGTGTAGTCGGCACTGCGGACTACAAGCCGAGAGGTTATGGGTTCGAATCCCACCTCCTGTAATTAGGCCTGGTGCCTGTTGTAAGCAGATTAAAAAAAAAGTTAACTTGATTTTTGTCATCAACATTTAATCAATGATTTATATGTACTGTAGTATTCTTTAAAAGGTTATTTTGTGAAAAATTCCGATAATTCAATTCAATACAAAATGACTCGTAAATCGATTTATAAACAAAAAGGGGAAATTGAAAAAACATCATTTGCGAGAAAGAATAAAACTAATCTTTTTTTCTTAAAGTGTGTTCTTTAAGAAGGCAATTTTAAATGAATTTAAGGCATATCGGCTTCAATAGCGTCTTCGGGGAATTTCGATTTCGCTACTCTATTAGTCATGGGCGGAAGTAAGCGATAGGATAAGCGGAAAATTGCGGAATTACAAGACATACTCGAGAGGCGGCGGCGGCGCTGACGGTGGCAGTATACGCAGCCAATATATATTCCGTGACACGTAGAATAAATGAACTGGGGAGCGGCAGAACGTCCGCCCGAGAAACATATAATACACGTTAAGGAAAAGAAAAAACATCGAACGACGTTCATAAAGCAACCAATTTTAAATCGTCTATTTCGGGTTTTCAGTAAGCGGGTGTTAATTTTATGGCTAGTCATTATGGAACCGCGCCGGAACATTTTACGGAAGCCTTATGAAAATTTATTGCTAATGGGGATTTTCTAATGAACGATGTTCAAACTTTAACTTTGCTTTAATTTAGATGTTTACGAATATACATTTTTGTTTAATTTTTCATAGATTCATATAAAGTTTATGTAACCTTTGTTTATATTATAAACATAAATGATACAATATTATTTGTTGTAAATGTAAAAAATTAAATAAATAATTATTATTAAACTAGCTTTCAACCCGCGGGCTCCGCTCCGCTTTATTGTTTCGCATTATGTAAACATAAAGTGAGGTTGTAGTTGTGGCACTCGAAAAACTGATTTTATGTGTCAAGTTTCACAAAATTTATAAAAATACCAATATCTTAAAAACTAATGATTTTTTACTAAGGGCATATTTTGATATTCTGGGCTGACCTATTAGTCCTTTAAAGGATATCGTTGACTTTTGGGACACCCTGTATACAGATATGTATTGTAACACAAAAACGTGAATTAAAAACGTAAAAAATATTATTCAAACGCAACAACATTGCGAGTTGTTGATAGTTGGTTTCTATGATAATGCTTTTCGCTTTTGACAGTGGCAGTGACAGTTCCATATGCCGTGTTATTTTAGTACAACATTATATATTCTTAGATTATATTTTATTTTGCGTAACCCTGAATAGGACTGCTATTAATTACCATTCAAAATTAAATTAATAGTAGATTTTGTAGCTGTGGCACTCGAAAAACTGATCTAAGGCGTCAAGTTTTACAAAATTCATAAATATGACTATATCTCAAAAACTAACGATTTTTTTTCTAAAATAATATTTTGATTTTCTGTCAAGTTGGAAAATTGTCTGTTTTTTTAAATAAAATTTAATAAAATGACAAAATAAATTTTGTTTTAATAACTTCCCCTGCAGTAGCACAAAATATTTGTCCTATATGGGGCGCATCTATGCCCAATATTATATCTGGGGCCAATATTGAATTTATTTAGTCGATGTTGACTTTAAATTGGCATAATAAATATATCATTCCAATGGTTATACAAGGTTGGTACTATATTGCAGGGCTCCCACACCTCCTAAAATTCATAAAATTCCTAAAATTTGGCTTAAATCTTAAAAACTCCTAAAATTCTCCTAAAATTGCCATCAATCTCCTAAAACTCCTAAAAATTAAATATAAGTAGGCCAACTTGACTCGGTTTAATTAAGGTAGTTGTGCTAAAAAATTTCTTTTTTAAAAAGTAATTTAAAAAATATATATTTTTGGTAAACATTCAATTTTCTTAGTTTCTTTAAGAAACTTTCTTGACCCATCACTGGTAATATTCATAAGAAAAAATTGATTGCGGCAAAGGCCACGTCGTTTGACGGTGTGGATCACCTGATGTTCTTACATCTCGCCTCTGTTGACTTAACAACCGAGCATATAAGCTCAGGGAGTAATTTGTTTTGATTGTGTTCCACTACACCAAGTTGCCCGACACTGATGAAACCCAATAAAGGTCGAAACAGCTGTCTGTCGGTATTTGAAGTTGGTGGAACGCATTCAAAACAAAAAACTTTGGCTAGGTGTAGGTTCAATTTTTTCTTATATATTTTTGGGTTCTAGTTTATTAAATTCTTTTTAAAATGATATAGGTATCACAACCTACATTTTTCTTAAAAAACAACAAAATATACCATAAAACAAAATCCACGTAGTAGCTTCTAGACTTCTACAAAATTGTCATTTTTAGCCATATTTCGTAAATTTTCAACAAAAATATACCGTGTTATATATCAAACAAAAGGATTTTTAATTTTCTTTTAAATGATAGCTAAAATAGTAAACAATCTAAAGATTGTTTTGCTGTAATCACGCACTTTATATTTTTTCTATTATGAGATTTTTTAGTAACAATAACATTACGATTATTGTTAGTTATTAACTAAACTGTTAATTTTTTTTCTTCAAAATATAAATATAACATCATTAAACTTTGGCCTACTTTTTTAGCCATATCTATCGACGCTTTTTTTTAAATAAAATTAAAAGTGGGGTGAAATTTTTACTTTTACCTCACTTTTCATTTTATTATAAAAAAAACTCGTCGAGCGATTTGGCTAAAAAACTAGCCAATATAACCTATTTGTACTGATATTTATTTATATTTTTGTTAAAAAGAATTTTTTTCTTATTTTTTAAGTATAGTGTAAAGTTGTTTTTCTTTAATTAAATAAATTCATTTGCATACTTTTTTCTCCTAAAATTCTCCTAAAATTCTCCAAAAAACCTCCTAAATTCCTAAATAAAATTTGTAATTTAACCGTGGGAGCCCTGATATTGCCGTAAATATCCAATATATCATAGTCAATGTTTGTGCTAGGTTGGGTATATTGGCGTACAATTATTATTCAATATGTAATTGCCAATGGTTGTCCAAGGTTAGCCCTATATTGGCGTAAAATAATTATCCAATATATCATTGAAAATGGTTGCCCAAGGTTAACCTAATATTAGCTCTATATTATCGTAAAAAATTTTTCCAATATATCATTGCCAATGTTTGTCCAAGGTTGGCCCTATATTGGCATAAAATGATAATTCAATATATAATTACCAATGTTTATACAAGGTTGCCTTTATATTGGCGTAAATTGGTTATTCAATTTTTTATTAGGTGCAAAAATCCTCCTCTTCGACTCGGATTTTTGTTGCCACCAGCACTCATGCTTCTTGTTAAAATATTACTTAGCAACGTGTTTTTTCGATTTTTTTCGGAAAAATTAGATGCCCTTATGATATTACTTACGACAACATTTTTTACTAATTGGGTTGGTTTGGTAATCTTTGGTTATCATACATATTACCTATAATCTCTAGTAATTATAATTACTCTTAATATGCATAATTATTCATATTAAAAGTAATTTTTTATGAGTTCCTTTGCTTTAGTCGAGAAAACACAAGCTATAGCTGAAAGTGTAGTAATAATCAAGTTTCTATAGTTTACTTTAAATCTTTCTTAATAAACACTTTTCAATGTGGTCAATATGGTAATTTTTCATTTCACATCACATAATTACATATCTGCTTTTAATTTAGGTTATAACAAAATTACAAAGATGACTCATTTTATTAAATTTGAAGCTCTATTTTTATTGAATATTTCATAAACTTGGGGAAAACTTTTAAGTTAATCTTTATTGTTTTGGTGATACATTTCAATCTCATAGCCATATACATGACTTGTCACTCAAAATAAAACTGTGGCAGCTGTTCAAGTACCATCAAAAATAGGGAGCGGTTTTAAAGTGTTAAAACCCATACTTAAACTTCATGTAAATATCACACTATTGGAAAGAAAATAAAGAGTTTCCAACGTATTATGCAATTGCGGTTAGTAATTAAATACCTGGTGTAAAACATATATTGCTCGGGCTAATATTGTTCGTTGCAAATTGGATGCATGTAGGGAAATTTATGCCCAGAGACGCAGTGGTAGATGAATGGAGGGGAACTCAACAAGATACATCCTAACAATCCAACAATACCATTGGAATTTCGTTGAATATACTGCAACCACAATACCAACATCAACAATTATAGCTACCCGCCAAACATTATTCATTGCAGTTAACAATTTATAATGTTATACTTCCTTTGTACGGCAATTTAAAAAGATGTAGTAAATTTTACGACCAAAGGGGATACATGAAACTTACTAAATTTAGCTGAAAGAGCATAAAAATTTTCGGGGATATTTCAACAGGTAATAATCCTTGAATTTATTGGCTATTAAATTGGCATTTATTAGTTTCTTCATTGAAATATAAATCGCCATGACTTGTACCATTTTAATTGTCCTTTTGAGAGCCACTATTGAAAATCTCTTACGGTTAGTTGACAGTTATGACTGCATGTCCAGATGGCCGCTAGGAGCTAACACAAAGTATGTACGAGTATACTTTTAAAAAGATTTTTTATTTCCATTTATCAAGAAAATGCAAGTATTAAAAAAAAGAAAAACTCCTGGGAAAACTTTGGTTTATGCTAATTGCGTTGTGAATGGGAAATAGAATTTTTAATGTTGAATTACGAGAAGGGTCCTTTAAAACCTGTTTCTGCCTTCTTTCGATTTCATTAACATTCATAGAATCTTACATCATTGAATCGATCGTTATCTTTTTATTCTTTTCCCTCAAATGGGGTGCGTAAATGAATAAAAACATGATAAAAAAGCAAATCAAAGAATGTTTAATGAATGCGCAAATTTTGAATAAAAGAAAAATCCTAATGAAGCATGTCTTGTTTAACAAGATTTCATTTATTGAAAAAGTTTTCCATCCCTTAGGCATATAAATAATTCTACATTAGTGACCACTAATAAGTTATATTCAATGTGTAGCAATAAATTTAGCAAAAATCTGGCCCTCATTCACCATGTAATAGTTCTTCCGATTAGAAGAATAGTTTCCCATGACTTTGCCTTGCTTTATGGCCAATATCAGAAGCCGTATATCAATACCATCTCCTCCGGGATAAACCGTTCTACGCGGGGAATAATTATAGTGGGCAAGTGTGCAAGTAATTTGTGCTAATGTTCTTACTATCGATTCGTCTGGTCTTGGCCCTAGAAAGCAGTAGGGGTTTATTACTTCTTCGCACAGTGATGCCAACTTTATCAAACCTACACAAAACGTTTGTTATAAACTAGGATACGTTATTAATTTATATTTTAGTTATAATAATTTATAAATAGTAAAAAAATTGAACCTATACAAATAAAATATACTGTCGGCATATTGGCAATTTTAACACTTGAATTAAATGTTTTTAAAATTTTCTTGTTTGGTATAAAATCTGTTTGTTTTGCGAGCGTATAGATTTTCAAAATGAGACACATTCTAAATTAAACTTATTTCTATTTAAAACAATATAATTTGAGAATAAACATATTCAGTTTTTTCTTTATACAAATATTTATTTATTCACTATTTTTTACAGCTAGCAGAAATGAACATGATTCATTCGAACTTATACAAAGCAGATTTAGCAACATAACAAGACCGTTACCATAGTAGATAACAAATGAACTTGACAGATAAATTTTCAATTTAACAATTCATCCTAAAAAAATTAAGTTAAAAACTTTAATAGTTTTTAAAATATATAGAATTATGAAATATTCTAGTTTTTTATTAATAATTATACACAGGGTGTTCCAAAAATAGCGCACTAATGGTATGCGGCGCTTTAGGATTTATTTTAAGTTTAAAACATAAAAGTAGTTTTTAAGTTCTAAGGTTCAAAAATTTTGGTTAAGTTTATTTTTGTTATGAGAACTGGCCAAATACCTCATCACGCTTCTGGAAACACGCTGGCATGGCCTTATGTATGCAAACAAGTACAGCGACAGCGGTGAGATGTAATGACCCTGCACTTTTTATAGCTGGAGTGTAGGCAGCACAATTTTGCAACACCCATTGTAAGTCACGTTCGATTGGACGGTAGACGGTGGCTGATAACATCTCACTGCTATCGCTGTACTTGTTTTCCTATATAAGGCCATGCCAGCATGTTTTCCGAATGCTTACACACCACGGCTATCCGGCACTGATGAGGTCTGATAATAAAACAGGCTGTCTGTCGGTACCTGGTTGTGTAGCACGCTAGAAAAAAAGCAACGGTAACAAGGTATTTGGCCAGCTCTCACAACATGGACACTATACCTTTAGTAGAAAACCATTTTTTAAAACTCCTTTATTTTTGTTATTTTAATTTTTGTGGCTATTTATGTATATAAAAATAAAGTTTAAATTTGTAAATAATATAAAATTTATAATTATTAGTTTTTAACACAAAAGTCCAAAAATACTTTTCCATGCAATGCATATTTCGGCTCGCAGCAGATTGGTTGTTTATTTTAATTCCATAACAAACGTTTTTTAATGTATTATATAACTTGTTATAAAAACACAGCTTTGTCGGGTTTTTTTGAACTTAAATGCTTAATAACTTAAAAATTAATTGTCAGAATTTTTTTTTGTATTTTTTTGTATACTAAAAATATCCTCCTACGTTATTAAACCTTTTTCGAGAAATCCTGTTTATTTTGAGTTATTTTATATTATCTGTACCACTGCGCAGAGTATGAAACACCAGTCGTCCCTCTGTATAAGCAGTAAACATTGATTTTTATAGGGTATACGTTTTGCCCGTCGTACTTCATATTTTATATATTTTTAATAGAATGTTTAATTTAACTTTTACCAAAGTTACTAATACGAATTTAAGTTACTACATAAACCAAAACTTTATTTTTGTGTATTTGCATAATTGAAATTGTAAAGTTTTGTCATTATCGTTACTTTTTATGTAAGGAATATTAAATATTTAGTTAAAAACTTTTTTATATTGATTTCACATCCTTTAAAAACTGTTTAAAAACACTTTTTAAAGCGGGACATTTTAAACAAAGAGACTGTTTATTGTTTCAATTTTGTACAACATAAAAGAAGTAAAGTTTATCCAACCATGTCAATGACATTTTTCCAAGAAAACACAAAGAAAATGTTAAATGAAAATACCCTGAAAGGATTAGCACATGACATGAAAGAGACAACTGCAAAACTAAAACAACAAACAGGTCATTTTTGTTTTATTTTCAATACAAACAAAAGTGCAACGCTTCAAAGATAATTATAATTAACAAAAACGACCGCTTCAAATAATTGCAACTTTGTGTAATACCCTACAAGAAAGGATAATTGTGGAAACATTACGCAACATTTGATAATCGTCCTGAAAGTTATAGTCCTTGAAGTAGGACGAGAGAGAAAAGCTTCGGGCGGAAATGAACAAGGGAAAAACAACTTGACCACCTGACGTGGAGGGGCAGCTTTAAGGATAGTAGTGGTGGAAAGGGTCCTGGCACTAGTATTTATGCTGCGGTCTCGAAACGTGTTCGAGCATCATTTGACAAAACGGACAAGGGCTGTTCATTTTGACGATTTTAATATTCTCTACAACTCCACTTTTCTTCGAGTAGGTAATTCCTTTTTTTTACTTAAAAGAAAAGTGCCAAGTAACACCAAACAATAAGGACGTTGATTCCTGCAGACCTGACCTGATTTTAAGTTTGACCCTTTAAAGGGCATTTAAATTAATGTTGCAAAAAGATACAGTTATGATTGTTAAAATTTGATGGTTATCAAATTTAGGTAAAACATATTTGAGATTGTTAAAGAAAGCAATAATAATTTTAATTAATTAACGTAACGCAGGTGGCTAAAAAAATCATTGAAAAAGTAGCGTACACATTGCTGAGAAACTTTCATTGCCAAACAGTTGCAGAGGGCTATACAAAATGAACCTTGATGTTAAGGTGTCGAACTATATTTTTAAAGTTTTACAGTATATATATATATTAGGGTGCTTTTTTTTCACGACTATTTTTATTTTTTCGCTCCCAATCAAAATCTTGAAAATATTCAAAAAAAATTCCCTGAAAATTTGAGCCCTTAATATTAACTTAAAGTACTCTACCAAAGCGTATACAGATTTCCCATTTAAAATAAACGTAAACTTTAATTTTTTTTAAATATCTATGTCTTAGCCGCATTTTATGTTATTGGATTGTTTCAAAAAGGGATTTACTCGTAATCAAAAGTTCTACAAAAATGCTTTATGTGCCATAGCTGTAATCTGCACCTGTAGAATGGTACGGGTCACTAAATCTTATTTTAGTGAAAAATTCTCATATTTTTGAAGATATTTCAAAAGTGACTGGATTCTTTAAAAATTGTAAAGGACAAACTTGTGGAAAATTTAATTTTCTTTAAAAAAGGTCTTATCAGTTGAATCGCTAAGATTGATATTTCTTGAGATATAAGGCGTTTATGAAATTTTCAGGATTTTCCTACCAAACTTTTTATAAATGATGATTTTCAATTGTTTATCAGTACATCTTCATGTAATGACGTTTTTTCTACAGTCGGGTGATTAGAGAAAAATAAATAACTAAAACAATCAAGCATAATTATTAATAAAATAACATGTTGTAAGTAATACACCTCGTTATATCAATTTTTAGGTTAGATATATCTTTTCTCTTTAAAGTTATGTTACGAGTAAATCCCTTTTTGAAACAATCTATAGTAGCATTAAATGCGGCTGAGATATAGGAATTTAAAAAAAAAATCAAAGTTTACGTGTATTTTAAATGGGAAATCTTTATACGCTTTGGCAACTTTAAGTTAATATTAAGGGCTCAATTTTTCAGGGAATTTTTTTTTTAACAGTTTCAACAAGATTTTGAGTTGGGAGCGAAAAAATAAAAAAAGTCGTGAAAAAAAAGCACCCTAATAGGGTGGCCCAAAAAAAAGAATATTTTTTTTACTCGTCTCTTGCAAAAATATGTTAGTTTATCATGCTGTAAGAGCCCTGTCAAAATATCACCTCGATTAAAAAAAATTTAGGGGTTGCTCAAGATTTTTTAAAATTTTCAAAATCGTCAAAAATTGAATTTTTGTTTTATTTTAATTTTTTTTCTCGTCTCGATATTATTTTTTTGGTTGAAAATAATAAAAATTCTGTAAATTTCAAATTAATATTTTTATTTCTAAAGGTCACTAAAAGTTCGTTGATATTTATATTCAGAGGTCGCTCAAAAACATTCAAAATACTCTACTTTGAAAGTTAAAAAAATCTTGAGCGACCTTTAGAAATCAAAATATCGATTTGAAATTTTCAGAATCATTATTATTTTTAAATTAAAAAATAATATCGGAACGAGAAAAAAAAATTAAAATAAAAAAAAAATCCAATTTTTGACGATTTTGAAAATTTTTAAAAATCCTGAGCGACCCCTAAAAAATTTTTAATGGAGCTGATCTTTTGACAGGGCTCTTAAAACATGACAAACCAACATATTTTTACAAGAGACGAGAGAAAAAAAATATTCTTTTTTTTTTGAGCCACCCTAATATTTATTTATATATATTCTCCTTCTCACAATAGTCCCACAATATACTATTTTTAAACATATAATTTTTTTTTTTATATTTTAATTATAATAATTATTGTCAGTGATCATTTACATTTTTATTAAATAAACAATAATTTTCTCTCCCGCTCTTACACCTACGGCAAGCTACTGAATACGCTTCATATTTACAATTTTCACTGAAGTTAGTTGAGATTTTCAAGCACGATTTGCCTCACGTTTTAGGGCTTTTTTGTATCGATATTTAATGTCGAAGAACGTCGGGCACAAGGCTGATCTTCATCATACCACTCTTACGCCCGTATTCTTGAGAAAGTAGTCCCCTCAAAATCTTTTCAACGATTTGTAACAACACTGCAAAAACAAAATTAAAAATAAAAGTTTTGTCCTGGAAAATTATCTATCGCAAAATATCTTATGATACTAATATCAGACTGAGACTAAGGTTTCAGACAAAAATTATTACTTATGACTACATTACATTTGGCGTAAATTATATTCCAATTTGGCGCTAGATGTCCATTTAACTGTTAAAGTAATTACCAAACAGTTAATAGAAACGTAAACCCGATCATCATTAGAGATACAGCGGTATAAATTAGAGCGACGTTTAAAACAATTAAAGGGCCACCATACAATTAATGCAACGCGAAATTTACATTTTAGACTTACGAGCCCTTATAAATCAGATAACACAGTACCAGGAAACCAAAACCAAAGAATGCATTTATTTACATTATTTATTTAAATTGCTTTTAGACCACTCTAAATTTTTACAAAACTTTGTACCCTGGGATCTGAATTAAAAATTAAAATCTTTGCAAATTTGACAAACACATTATATTATTTTTTAATAGGAAGATTTTCTGGTATACGTATTGAAATAATTTAATTTCTTGTTAAAAATAATTTGTTTTATAAGAAAATAAAAAGAAACATTTTAGAAAACAATTGTATTCCTATGTATTTAAGCCAAGGTCAAGCTAGTATCTTTCACGATTAGTTTCGACCTAACCTCAAAAAACCCCTATCATCAGTGATGATACGGGTTTTTTGAGGTTAGGTCGAAACTAATCGTCATCACATACCTACTAAAAATGTACATTGAGACATGTGTTTTTTTGTGTGCCTGTGACACTCTGGGTTAACCCATATAGTATTTTTCAAAACATGTTATTCTATTATTTGTAGTTTTGACCAAAGGTGGCGTTTCCCAACCATCTGAAAAGTTTTCTTTAATAAAAATAATATATTATAGAACAAAAGTAATGACAAAAATGGTCAAATATTTTGTGTGGTAATCAACAAATCATAATTTTGAATAAAGGGCCGCATTGCATTTCTCACAAATGAAGTTACAATTTTTGTGACATAACCCACAGCTCGTTTATTTTTCCTGATAATTTACCAAGTGATCTTCTCTATCGGATCTAGAATGTTCATGTAAATTTGACGTTGGTTTACTAGGGCCTTTTTTGTATTCTGTCTATAAGATAATAAAATGCATGTAGTGACTATTCTTCTAAATGCTAAATTACAAACTAAAGGTAAAATTTTTGAAAAATTGTCAGTTTGAATCAAATTGTCATCATCAGTACAATGTAAATTTTGCATAATAAATTAAAACAGATTTCTAGCTTATTATGTATGAAACGTATAAACGTATACGCTAAAGAAGTATCGGGTTTTGCAACGCGCGCGCCATCTGGTGGACTTCAAAAGCATTGCGTGAATTTTATATTTTTTTTCACATAAGAGGGAAGGCAGAAGTCTTACTCGACAAATTTTGTTCAATTGCACAGCTAAATCGCGCAAGTTATTTGAGTTTTACTTTGCAAGGAAAAAACTAAGAAACTGGTTTAGTACTCGATTTCGATTGATTATTCTTTATAGTTACGTTAGTGTGGGTATTTTATCTGAGAGATCATGGTGACTTATTGGGTTTTTAATTGTAAATAAAATTCAAGAACTAAATCGTTGCATTTTCATGTTTTGCCAAAGGATCCAATTCGGTAAGTACATTTGTTGGTGCAGAATTAACTAATGGTAACTTTACCTAATATAATTTATATTTAAGTTTGGACATCTTTAAGAAATTAGTGAACAATAATTTTTGCAAACATAACCTTAAAATCAACCATTTTTATAGTTGAGTTCTCTAAAAAACGCCGCCAACTGCATTTTAAACAACAAAATATACCTACGAATTCATGGCAACATAATATAATACATAATATAATGGTATTTTACCGTTGAGTGGAGAATTCTTAATCAACGGTTTTAATAATGCTAAATGCTTTTTTAATTTAGACGACTTATTTGTTCGACGATTATTACTGAATTGAAATGTTTACACTTTTCACGTTAATCATTACTAAAATGTGTATTTATTGTATCTAATAGATACAATTTATATTTACAGGGACTGTATGAAATTTATTTCTTCATTCGGATTAACACTGTTTATTGGAAAACCGATAAAAACTTAAACCAGGATTTCCTCTCGAAATCGTGCAACGGTTTTTTTTTTCGATATTTTTAAACATTTTCCGGATTTATTCTCAAAAACACTCATTTGTAACACACGCGTTTGACAGCTGATTTTCAAAAGTTCTACTTTTGTTACGATGATAACAACCGAGTGGTGGCGCTACTAGCGATACTTCTTTAGCGTATAAACGTATAAACGTATAAACGTATTTAAAATGGCAAAGGTATTTAAAATGGCATAGTTATTCGAGTAATTGACGAGCATATCAATTACTTCATCATCAAAATATTGAAATAATAACAGGCGCGCCTAGGCGTCAACTTGTACATCAACTATTCCAGGTAGGTTAACTTGGCAACATATCATTTTTTATACACTCTCTCTACTTTTAGGTTTTAATTTCCATTGTTTGGTACTGTTTTTGCTGCGTTTGCAGACGTTGACAATTGGAGATAAACTTCAATATCATATCCATCACAATCTACTAAAAACTATTTTGAAATTCTCCATTGTTTATACTTCTACCTGCAGCTGACTACCAAGGTTATTCAATGAATAATATCCATGATAACCCTATCTTCGGGTCTTCATCTATATTCTTACTACTACCAGGAAGGTTATTTGATGAATAATATTCATGATAACCCTATCTTCGGGTCTTCATCTGTATTCTTACTCTTTGCGTTATCAGTTGGAAAAATAACAATATTGTCTGGCAATTCAGCTTCCTCCAGTTCTTGCATCAATTAATGAAGTTTTAGGGGTTTCTTTCAATAACTTAAAGATAAAACGATATTACTCCCTATTATCCCAACGTTCTTTATAAAGAACATCAACAATGTAATGGTAATAAAATCTAACAAATTAAGTTTTCTAAATACAAATACTATGCAATAAAATATTTAAAGAAATTTCACCATGTTAGTAAAAATAATAAGGTTAAAAACATAAATGCTGCACTTCTGCAGAAAATGACAAACATACGTAAATTATACTTTACACAGAGATAGAAGGCAATTGCTATCCTTGGTGAGTTTGGTTAAATATATAATTAAAAATAGAGACAGGAGGCGATAACTTTATAAAAACTATAAAAAATGAAGTTACGTATGGTGTTATTTTAAAGGCATCATCTGGGTTAATAACAAAAAGTCATAACTGCATTATTGTCGAGAACTAAAATATTAATAAAATATTAGGAATTTCTTTTTAAATAAAATATGAACAGGGTAGTTTTAAGATATTAATAAACAAGCGTAAGTTAAATTATTGACAAAAGTAAAAAATATCGATAAACTTAAAGAGATATAATAAATATTATTTTTTAATGGATATATTTTAAGATATTTGGATAGAGCTTTTTATTTTTATTTTAAAAGTATATTTTAGGGCGTTTATTAAGAACACCATCACGGTGGGCTTGAATATGACTTAAATGCGAAGGTTTAGCACCTCCGATTTTCTTTCGGCATTCGATTCCTGGAGTCATAAGAAAGCCAGAAAAAAAAATCTACCGTAATCCTTAGAGCCGTTTTCGAAAAAACACCCTTTTGCAATGGAGAAAAATTCACTGTTCGAGATATCGGCATTTTTCTACCTTTCACTCACTTTTAGTTGCCAGACTTCCATAATTTAGCGACAATGACGTTTGACGTTTGACAGTAACTGTTGAAGTTGTAATAATTATTATTCTCTTCGAAATTTCAATTTCTTGTGAAAGTATGGACAGAAGATCAAAGGATCATGCAGGAACCCATCAAGAAAATCGGGAGCGGATATGTTTTCTCTGCCTGCAGAAGAAGAAACAAATGGTCAAAATCAGTGGTAGTTTATATGTGAATCTAAAAAAATGTGTGAATTATGCTGAACAAGATGAACTTCTTCCCAATGTTTTATGTAACGCTTGCAAAATAATCGTATATCGTTCAGTGAAGTGTGGAAATATCGGGGAAATAGCTCTCCCGGACTATACAGAATTTAAAATTTTGGGGAAGAATACTCGGGCAAAAACTCAAGCTTTGTGCAGTTGCACATTGTGTGAATTGGTACGAGATCCAGGGCCATATAACTTCACCAAAAAACCCGCCAACAACAAAAAGAAGAGAAGCAACAAGTGCAGAAAATGTGGGGAAACTTATTCGGTAGGGAAAAAACATTTTTGTAGCCCAGACAAACACTTCCCGAGTTTCCAAGAACATTTAAGTAACTTGCTTCCCCCGAAACAGAGAGAACATTTGGCATGTTCTTTGATAAAGGATATATCTTTAAATACTAATACTCCCATGGAAGCTGGGCCCAGCTCGGGGAACAAAACCGTTACATTATCCCAGATCCACGGAAGGGCACTCAACATTAAAATCACCCCGAAACGAAATAATCAAACTATAGGCCCGCAACAGATTTCCGCGGGAGATGTTTGTAAAATAGCCACAAATTACGGTCTCTCCAGCAACGTAGTTCAGGGAATAGCGAGGGACTTACGGGTTGGCTCCCAAAAAAGAAACCTGTTTGAACCCCATCTGAAGACGAAACTATCTACATACCGCCACAGGCTAGATGCATTTTTTAATTTCAAAAGTTGCCCCATAATGACGTCCAAAGCTGGCGAGAAAACGACCTCTACAGAAATATTGGCATATTGTACAGATGTTGCGGCCTTAATCGCTTATATAAAAGGAAATCGAAACAATGATAATCCTCATTTGAAGTTTGGAATTGATGGTGGAGGAGGGTTTCTCAAGATTTGCCTTTCAGTGCAAGAACCTGATTCTGCTGTAATAGATAATCGACAAAAATATATAGCGGGCGTAGCGGCAAAAAGATTCAAGGATTCCGGAGTGAAAAAATTATTTATTCTCGCAATAATTGCAGCCACACAAGAAAACCACGAAAATGTCAGAATGTTATGTTCTCTCTTACAAATCAATGATTTTGCGGGCACAATTGCAACCGATTTGAAACTCGCTAATATATTAGTGGGAATCATGTCTCATGCCAGTAGCTTTCCATGTACCTGGTGTTTGGCCTCGAAAGAAAGTTTGGACACTTGTGGCGAGAAGAGAACTATAGAAAACTGCCAAGAAAATTATTTAGAATGGGAAAAGATCAACTTCAAAAAGTCCTTTGCAAAAAATTACAAAAATTGCTCAAATTTGCCTGTTCTTTCAAGAGGCACAGATGACTCCAGAGAGATTCTTGATATCATTGCACCCCCTGAATTGCATTTGATTCTCGGAGTAGTAAACACTCTTTATAATCGGATGAAAATGGAGTTCGAGTTTGAATCTTTAGAGTGGGAATTTGTGCATGGGGCCCCTGCATTTGCGGGTAACTCATGCAAACTGCTTTTGGATAAAACTGATGTTTTGCAAAATTTATGCAGGCCGGGTTGCCTAAATTATGTTAAATGTTTCCGAGAATTTCGAGCAGTGGTAGAATCTTGTTTTTCAATCACTCTGGAACCAAACTATACAGAAGCAATAAACAGATTTAAAAGAAGTTATTTAGATCTACAGATCAGTGTTACTCCAAAGGTCCATGCTGTGTTTTTTCATGTACCCGAGTTTGTCGCTAAAACCAAACAAGGGTTGGGTTTTTTTAGCGAGCAGGCCATGGAATCTGTCCACCATGACTTTGGGATTACCTGGGCAAATATAAAGTAAAAAAATGTCATCCAGATTATGGAAGTAAATTACTGACCGCACTCCGAGAATACAATAGTGTTCATTTATAACTAGCTAGTTAAAGCGTTAACGTTATAAATTTGGTTAAAAAAGCCAAGAATTTTGTTTTTTTTGTATCAAACTATTTATTCTTGTACAATAATAATTATTATTTAAACATTATTTTTTAATAAAATTATCAGTTCAAGAATCGAGATTTCAGTTTTTTTTTCAATTCTTTTTCCGTCAGAAACTCGCACGAAGAATTTTTTTTGGTCTGTATCCAGGAAAAGGTTTGTCTGTCTTTAGTCTTCTATTCTGAAATGTCCGGATATCACATTTCTACCAAATTGAGCGTGTTCCAAGTCCAAGAGGAGACGCGTTAAAAATGCATATTTCTTGAACTTTAAGAAAAGTCATTTTTTCAAAATCGGCTCTAAGGATTACGGTGGATTTTTTTTTCTGACCTTCTTATGAGTCCAGAAATCGAATGCCGAAAGAAAATCGGGAGTGCTAAAATCTCGCATTTAAGTCATGTTCAAGCCCACCGTGCCATGTGTATTAATTTTGAGTCTAAATAATTTTTTCTTATGTTGTATATTTCTCAAGTTTTATTAGATTTTTAAGCTTAATTCTGACCAAATACTCTACTCTGTCTTATAAAATACGTTGTCTTAAATGCATTTAAATTTATTATTAACATCGTATACCCGAACACGAACAGTATCGAAATGCACAAAAACATCGCAGCACAATCCCACGACGTTATGGGAGATTTCGACATGGATTTGTTACGAAAACTCATTACTTTCCCTGTTGTATTACCCAACCCGCTGTTACCCTGCTAGACAATGGCGGGCGGCCGCGTGCACCAGACAGGCACAATTCGCAAGGCCCGGCCGATCGTTAGTCCCCCGGTTTTTGTTGTTTTTCGCCGCTTTAAATTAGCACTTTGCTACTATCTTTGCCGTCAGTTGGTTCGTTTGGTTAAGTATTTTTTTATAGAGTTAATTGGGTTTGCTTTGTAAAATATGATTTTCTATAAATTTAGAGCTGCAAAATGTTTATTTTAGGGGATATTAAAATAACATAGCATTAAAATTAAAAGGACAGTAAACGTTTTTATTTTTAATTAATTTTTTTGTTTTACAAATTACAAAAGAAAAAATTTAAAAACAACATGTAAGTAACAAAAATTCTTGTTTTAAAATATTATAATAATTATTGATTGAAAACATCTTTTTCAATTTAGAAATATTTGTATTAATTTTATTTAATTTTTTTTATAAAAGCTTTCGATATTTTACAAAACCTTTATCATTAACATATGAACATCAAAATTGGGCAAGTTTGATAAGGGGTTAAGTAATATTTTTAATATTAAAGGACAACACATAATACGAAATTTATTTTTATTTACAATCACAATGTTGTGTGTTCTTTAATAATAATAATAATAATCTTTATTTAGCAACAGCTATAAATAACAATGTAGTCATAAAAATAACAAAAAGAAATACAACAATCCGAAAATAAGACCTTAAAATTTATCCTTTATATACAATTTGAGTTTAGTTTTAAAGCTATTATAATTATCACAATTTTTTATTTCTAGAGGTAAATCATTAAATAATTTTAAACCTTTAAAATACAATGAATTTTGTGTTTTACTTTTATTTGTGGTATCAATATAAAAATCAAATGCACTTCTGGTTTGATGATTATGCACATTTCTATTGTATTTTAATTGCTTACTTAGGTAATTTTGTACCTTATTACATTACATTTTATAAATATTATCTAAACTTCTATACATAATTCTTTGTTTAATTGTCAAATTAAGAACTTCAGTCATCAAATTAATTGGTGTATATCTATTACATTTTAAAATGTTGCTCATGGCCTTATTTTGTAATTTTTTTATTTGATTTCCAGGTACATTAAATAATATAGATGAACAAAAGTAAATATGATTTATACAAAAGCAATTTTGTTGACATTGATAAACATGAACTAACTCTATATAAAACATTTTCTTTAAAACATATATGTATACATTGAGACTCAATGATTGAGTATAA